TAACCAGAGTCATTACTGACAGCTGAGGGTGCCAAATCCAGGCAGGCAGCCTTTTTAATAAACTGTCCACTGTGGGAATCCTGAGTAAATAGATAGTAAAGGAGAGCCAGGTTTGTCCTGCTTTAATTAGCAGCAGGGTATTGGGTGTGGCAATGTTTAGTTAAATAACTAAATGCAGAATCTCACTCTCAAATGGGATTAAATCAGTGACCTGTAGCCCACGTTGGTTATTCTGCTCTGCCTTTGACCTGGAGTTGTCCCATCTTGTTTTCTGCTCTGGAGGCGTACTCCCCAGGCCTGCTAATGGCTCACTTAGCCTTTTATCTCCCTGGGTCTAGCTGACAAGACCAAGGGTCCTGTGCACATGCTCCCCTGTGACTCAGTCTCTCTCCTTCTCACTCTGCTAGGGACAGAGGTTGTTCCTCTCCTAAAATAAGTTTCCTTGATCTTTAAATCATGACATACTTCGAAGAACATCCAAATCCCTTCCCCTGATCCTGTGGTCTCCACTGCCCTTCCCGAGCCTGGCTCAGCCCACTCAGGCCATTGGATTTCTCTGGGTTAAAGGGCTGCCAGCACAACTGGCTCTTTCCCCTGGGCTTTTGCACCTTTCCCTCCTATTCTGCAAGAATCCCTCCTTTCTTCTCAGAACAGCCAATCCTGACCCCTTTATTAGCCAAAGCACTACCCTCATGCACCCTCATTCTCCATCTGCTAGCTTGTCTCCTTTGTACCACCTAACTTCATTCTGCTATTTTGGGTATCTGTTTGCAAACCAAGGTCCTGGGCAGGGATCCTCACTTTTAGGACAACAGCATGAGACTTTAAATCACAAATATTTATTTTCCTGTCTTTTCTGCCTACAGAGCTGTGATAAGGGGGAGCAGCAGGGGTCTAGGTAATACTTTAACAACTAGCTAGCCATGCTCGCAGGAGGGCAGAACCGATGAGGTGCCTGCCAGCAGAGCTGAGGTCCACACATCTTAGAACAGGGAAGCTGTGCTAAGAGGGCCTCACCCCAAGAAGGCAGGGGCAGGGTTCTCTTAGGAAACAATTCCAGTTCTATGCTAGTCATGGGACAGATTTGAAGCTGCAAATTTCATGCCACAGAGAGAGCTAATGGTCATTTTATTCTGAATAACTTAGTTTTACTGAGCACCCAGTATGGGCATAAAAAAATCACATCAAATACTCATAACTATACTATGATTTGAGCAGCATAATTTCTTGGAGGAAACTCAGAGAAAACTCTCTTTGTAGGTAACCATGTATAACTTTTAACTCCCCTAAAACTTAACTACAGTTGTCCTTGACATCCATGGATTCAATTAACTGCAGATCGAAAAAGTATTTGTACAAACTTTGTTTGAACTTTGCTATGGTGAGTTGTTAGGTAAAGACAGTTAAATGTCAGGGTCAGCTTCCAGAAAGGAGCGCCATAATTTGGTGCATTTGCTCTGATGACACTTTTTCAGACAGTAATTAGATAGCAGGAAATTGTCACCAGTAGATGATAATAGTCCCACCCGCACAGCTGAGCTGTGCCCTACCCCTTGTCTGCTTTTAGCACCTCCAGAAAGTGTATGACATAGTTATTAGATAACAGAGTACAATTGACCCTTGAAGAACATGGGTTTGAACTGTGCAGGTCCACTTGGGTGGATTTTTGTCAATACTGGTAAATACAGTTGTCCTTTCATAGCCATGGGTTTCACATCCTCCAATTCAACCAACCTCATTTCAAAACAGTATTTTCACATCCACAACCACAGATTTCCTGCTGCAGATTCCCAACCATGGATCAAAAATACTGTTTTCAATCTGCAGTTAGTTGAATCCATGGATGCCAAGGACAACTGTAGTTAAGTTTTGGGGAGTAAAAAGTTACACATGGAATTTTGAGGGGCACCCCTTAACCCCAGTGTTGTTCAAGAGCCAACTGTATAAGCTCCTTGTGGCCAGTGATTTTGACTGTCTTTCCCATTGTGGTGTCCCAGCACCTCAGAGAGTGCCGGCTCCTAGAGGTGCTCCACATGGATTTGCTGAATGAATAAATGATGCATAAACACATTAATATAGAAGAATGGTATTTTGATGGAAGAAGTGAGTATCAAGGGTTTTCTTCCTGCTCACTCAACATGAGATTAATAATTGAGACACAGGTTTTAAATAACGACAACCAGAATATGGCTGGGTTTTGCTCACTAGAAATTATCGAATTTACTAAGAGGTCATTCCTACTAATCCATGTATGTTTTCTATTGGTATAGGAGTCCTATTAAATATCCACAACTATTTGCAAAGTTGTGGCTTAGTAAAGCTGAGACCTGGGGCCTGCCTTACCTATCGTGCCGGGGCCCTCAGCTGGGTCCCTCTGCTGAGCTCAGCATCTGTGCACACTGCATGAAGGGGAGGCTGGAAGTCAGGGCTCAGTGCACAAAGCATGTGTGCTACATTACACTCCATCTGCACCATCGCAAGAGACCCCATCCACCCAACCGTGGTCTGCAATCTTGATTCACATTTTTATTTTAAAATACTATTGGTAAACTTTTGCTATCTTAGTCCCAGTCTCTTAAGAAATGAACAAAGCAAAATCATGTATCTTCAAAGCTCTGGAGCCTTAAATGATGAAGATAAGCAATAATCTCTCTTGTTTCATTCTTTCTCTTAATCATCTGAACTAATTTGTATACTCATTTTTATTTGGATATGATGACTGTGAACATTTCAAGCATAACCATCTGCAACACTTTTTAATGGCATAATATTCTAGAGTTTTCATAGAGAGAGGGAAAAAACATCTTTGGTTTCTCCTATTGGTGGCAGTGAGAATGGCACCAGGTGATTCAGCAAACTTGGTACTTGAGTTCTGGCTAAGAAAGAATTCAGAGTCAAGACTCAAACTATCTCTGGATGTGGCGAGTGGTGGTGGTGGGGGGGGGGTGTGTGTGTAAGGACACATGTGTAATACCTTAATCAATAAAGAAAGAAAAAAAAGAGAGAGAGAAAAGAAAAAAATTTTTTGAAAAAAGACTCAAACTATAAGCTACAGAGGCAAAAGAAAGTTACTTGGAGCTTAGGAGAGAGGAAGGTAATGGTAATGCACCTAGCCCTAGCGGGGAAAGAAGAGGGGAAGGGGAAAGGCAGGGCGTGCTCTGGGGAGGGAGAGCTTTGGGTCCTTTGTCCTAAGGGCTTTTAAAGGATTTTAGGGAAGGTCCCAGAGGAAGATCTCAATAGAATATTCATCAGCTTTCCAGGTGTGTCCTTCAGGTTCCTGGTCTCCACTGATTGGTCGGAGCTGGGGGGGGGGGGCGGTGTCGGGAAAGGGGTGGTTATTATTCAATGCAGCTGGTCCTGGGTCAACCATGGCATCACTAGTCTGGTTTTGCTGTTATCTGGGCCTGGAGCTGAAACACAACTGAGGCCTAGATGGCTTTGATGTGGGTCAGAACCTCACTGTCCTGGGGGATTAATGCTTAAGGGCTATTCTCCAGCCCCTTTCTGTGTTCCCCCATCTAAGGGGGTCTAACCTGCATGATTAGCAACATTCCAGGGGAGGAAAGGTCAGGGGAGGGTCTGAACAGCTTGACCAGTGATATGAGAGGTCAGGGGTCTAAAGCCCATGACCAGTGATATGCTAGGGGAGGAAAGATTACCCTGGGGCGAGGTCCTTGCTAGGCACCCAGAGCTTTCTGTCCTGGTGACCTTCTGTACCTGGCCCAGCATCCTTGCTCTGCTCGTGTCTGTCTAACTGCCTACCACACTACTACAGCATTCATATTCTGTGCCCATTCTAATTTTTTCTCCTGTCTCTTTTCCCATTTTTTGGCAATATCAGGGTCATCTCTCTTTGGTAAATTTAAAGTTACCTTTTAATTTCCAATAGAAAAAAGCTACACTTAAAATAATCTCCATCCTCAAACTCATTTATTTTGAACACACCAAAATGTCAAAATTATATGCAACAACAAAAAAAGATTAGCCCAGAATACTTACTTTCTGTTTGTCTTCCTACATTCCTAATTTAATAGTGTTGGCAATCTTAATTTATGACCAACCCTCAGATTGGGCTGAGCATGGGCAATATAAATGACCAAGCCTAAAATTCAAGTTAAGTTTCTCATTTGGGAACTTACACTGTCTGGATTGATCGTCCACACTGGCCAAGTGGAGTAAATATGGTTCTGCCCAACCTTGCTAGAGGCAGGAAGAGTCTTTCAGGGTCCTCACCTGAGCCTCACACAGTTGTCTGTTTGTTTCTCTCTTAAGCCACTTACCTGTTCTTGTGTGAATTAAATCGTATGTATCAGAGCAGACAGGATGAGTTGGAAAAGGAGAACATAGTCAATCCTGCCTAGAGGAGCCGTTCTGTTCCCCCGGGGGGAGGTGGGGTTGGGAGAGAGTTTTGTTTTTTATTCATTTAACTTTTGAGGAAGAAACAACTGATACTGAAAGGCAATATTCTTTCAAAATGTTTGTGTTTCAAACATCTTCCTGATTATCTAGTTATATGAGATATCTCTATTTATCTGGAGTTACATGGAGCATATGGTGGCGCGTGCAGTGTTGGAAGAGAAGAGAAAGAGCTGCCCCGGGACTCAAAGCCTGCAGTGGATGGGGGGAGGGCAGGAATGTGCCAGCAGGTTTCAAAACTGAGTAGATGTATCAAGACCATCTCCCTTGAGGAACCCATTTTCATCAATGGTATTTTAATGCTAACATAGCTTTTTAGCATTCCAGTGCCCAAAGGCTCTGGCTGTTCTGACAGAAGCAAGACTGACCCCCACAAAAACAAATCAATGATTTTACAGATTCCAACTGCTGTCTCAGGACAGGAAGCCAAAAGCCAGGTGTGTGTGTGTCCAGGGAGACTGCAGAGGGGATTAACCTTCAGAGCGAGGCACCAGCATCTTCAGTGCTGGGAGAGGCCTCCAGATGGCGCAGGTGAGTCTGCAGTGAGGGAAAGCCCCTCTGCCTTTTCCGAAGTCGCCCACAGGACGGGAGCAGGCAAGAGTCCCAGGAAGCCCTTTGGAACAGACGGAAGGTGAGGCTGACAGCGAGAGGTGTCTCATCCTCGGCAGCGCTGTGGGCCACCAGCACCTGCTTCTGGGACCACCTGTGCACCCTGGTGGCCCCAAATAAGGCTGTGCCTGGCTTTCTTCACGGACCATCTTCTGCTTGGATTAGAAACTGACCCTACAACGGCGTCCAGGTAAGCCTTGGTCATTCCCTTTGGTTTTCTAAACTCGTAAGCTCTGAATGAGACTGAGGTGTCGTGGGCTGCAAAACAGCCTGAGTGCATTTTTGAAATGCGTGTCATATTTGGGTTGCGTTTGAACAAGCTTTCCCAATTACTATATGTCTGCGCTGCTAGTTCTAAGACCTACGATTGTTCCTTTGTTTTCAGGAAAACATCAGAAACCCTATTTTGCTATTTGGTTAGTGAGCTAATCTCTGTATGTGCTTACCAGGCTTTAAGATTTGGCCACTAGGACAACAGGTGTCTCCAGAGAACATGAAAGTGTGTTTCTCAGGTTTGACCTGAGCCTGGTCACGGGAAGGCAAGCAGCAGCTGGGACTTTGGCTGCACCCTGTGCCTACGGTCCCCTCCCCACTGCCAAGCTCTGGAAGTTCCCTAAGAGACATTTCAGCTGTGGTTTTGGCCTCTGTGGGGATGGGGGGATGGGGGGATTGTATTTCTGATGAAGGAAGGTTTCAGTTCCAGCCAAGAGGCTCCTCTCGATGCTCTGACAGATCATGGAGGAGTTTGGGCTCCTGAACAAGAGCACCTCCGATTTCCCAGCATCCTGCAGCAATTGCTCCCACACTGCAAAGGCTGGAGGTGTCAGGGCAAGGACAGGAGCGGAGAGGACAGCAGGTGAGGATTCAAAAGGGGCAATTAAAGCAATAAGGGGTGGGGCAGAAGCCCTGTCAGTCAGGGGAATTTGGCGGGACACATGGATTTGAGATGACAAGAATGAAGAACAGAGAGAGGAGGGAAGCAAACAAAGACCAGCCCCTCCTCTGCTCTGCAGCCACTGCAGTTGTGGCTCTGGATTGCACTTTTGAGACACCTCTAGCCAAGAGTGAAACTGCAGCTAATTCCAAATATTGGGGTGGTGAAAAACCATTATGGACTAAAGGAGAAAAGGAATCAAGGAAAATAAGTAAGATACAGAATATTTCTTGCCTGACTGGATGCTCTGAGATTTCTAAGCCATAGACACTTATAACCTCTAAAGTTACATTTTGACAAAATTCACCAAAAAGGCAGTTACTCATCAAAGCTAGGAAATTTGCATTTGTCCTTATAATGACCCACATGTGCCCTTTGTCCCTGGAGGAGAAGATTGGGGGCCCCAGTGACGATCAGCTGGGATCTCTGCTCTGTGCTCTCTCCACCCTCAAGTGAGCCAGGCTATGCTGTATTAACTTGTGACAGCACATTTGTAGGGTAATCGCAACAACACGTGTCTTTGGGAGAAAAAAATAAAATTTCCCTGGAATGTTTGACTTTCACTCTCTGCGCACTACTGGGTTTCTAAAAATAAACAGGGTTTTCATTTTGTTGACAACACATATTTCGAAGCTCTGAAGTGTCAGGGGCTCACCTTCCTTTCTAAAGGGTCTTTGTGTCCCTGGACAGGCAGCAAGAGAGACCTGTTATTTCCCCCATTTCACAGGACACAAAACCAAATTAACTCTTTTAACCAGGGAGCACCAAAGTTCCATAAGTCCCAAAGGAACACAGATGGAAGCTAGATCACCTAGCCTCCTTCCTCGGTTCAAGTTGTGGTTTCCAAAAAATAGACTCCATTCCCAAGGAAATGCCCAGAATCTCAGCTTCAAAGACTCAAGAAAAACTGAAATTCAAACCATAGCTGTAAACAGTGTGGAAGCCAGCCCTTTGACTGAACGCTTTGCCCTCAGGCAGCCTCCCTCCTGGGCTTGTTCATGGTCTGGTCTGCATGCCTCTTAGCAGTTTCCCTCCTGGCCATGTTTCCTCAGTTACCCCAGAGACACCTGCTTGCTCATTCCTTTGATGCTGTTTTAGGCTCTGCCTAGGTAATTCCACCCTAAGTAGTACCATTAATTAACTTACATTAAGCTCACTTAGCACATTACATCAATTAGGAGACAAAGGCCTCTAAAGTGCCCCCATCACTGGCAGCCTAGGTCCTGCCCTTGAATTCACATATTGTGAAGCAGGGGAAGATAAACCAATGTCCAGTCATTTAGTCATGTAGTCTCCCCTACACAGTGGAACCTCATTTCTCTAACTTAATTCCTTCCGGAAGGCTGTTCAAAAACCCGAATCATATTTTTCCCATCAAAAATAAAGTAAATTGAATTAACCTGTTCCAGACCCCAAATGATTCCGTTTTAACCTTTCTTACATACAGTACATGTCTATTGTACTGTTTAATCTACAAATAAACACTTTAAAAACAAAAAGGACATGAAGTATAAGTGAAAACTTAACAAAAAGGAAAGGAAATGTACAATAAGAAGTGAAAATTTAACAATAATATAAGCAGCAACAAAAGCAAAAAGAAAAAAAAAAACCACGAAAATATTCACAGCACAATATCCTGAGATTTTTAACAGTGGCAAATTGACTCATGTTTGCAAACTGACTCTCTCCTCTGTCACCTGAGAGATGTGTGACTGACCATATAGGTATCAGCATGAAAGGGTTGTCAGGTTGAGAAGAGAATTGTTCGAGATGGGAGATGTTTGAGAAATGAGGTTCCACTGTATTTCTATAGCTTTTGGCAAAGCATTTTCATGCATGTCTTCCTTATTTTCCAAATAAGGAGACTGAGGCTTAGAAAGGCTAAGTAACTTGCGCAAAGCCATGTAGCTAATCATGATGGTGATACCAATAATAGCTTACATGTACTCCATGTCTGGAATGCCTAGGCTTCATGCTGTGTGACTTGTAATTAGAAGGACTAGGACTAGAACCTTGTCTCCTGCCTCAGGCTGACACGTTTGCTTCTGTAAGAGCAACCAGAGAAGGTGCTATGACAACCACCAGTTAGAATAGGGCAGTGGTTCTCAACCTTCTGGCCCTTTAAATACAGTTCCTCATGTTGTGACCCAACCATAAAATTATTTTCATTGCTACTTCATAACTGTAATGTTGCTACTGTTATGAATCGTAATGTAAATATCTGATATGCAGGATGGTCTTAGGCGACCCCTGTGAAAGAGTCGTTAGACCGCCAAAGGGGTCGCGACCCACAGGTTGAGAACCGCTGGAATAGGGTATACAGATCTCATATTCCCAGGGTTGTGTCAACCCAGACACCACTCTATTTCCTGGCTTCTGGCCTCATCAGAGGCAAGGGCTAAAGAGGAAATGACCTCCATCTCGTTCTTGTGAGCCATTCCACTAAAGGTATAGCAATAGAAGAAATATTAGAGTGGAGAATATGAAATTGCTTTTTGTATATAGTGTAAACGTAGTTGAATCTAGGTAATTTCAGGTATTTCAATCTAATATAGTCTAGTAACTAAGAAAATTTTTCAAATAGCTTTTGGGGTTCAGGCATCCCAACAACTCCTTGGCCTCTGTTAGTACAAACAAATGACACCAGACTGTATTAATTTTTCATCATTGTCTGTCCCAAGGCAGTCACAAAGCATTTCCCAAGGGCTGTTAGCTTTGTCCAGTCAAAGTTAAGGGAAAAACTTTACCCTGGGTCTTGGCAGGAAGGTGGCCCATTCATTAGATACTCTATAAGGGACTCCTTACAATCCAAGGTATCCTCAGTCTCAGTGTCCTCTCGGGCACATAGTGGGCATTCAATGAAAATATGTCTAATGAATGAATGGGATTGTTTTTTAAAAGGTCACCAGTTGTTTTAATCACACAGTGGGAGAAGGGACTGCCTGGACACCACAGTGCCCTATGTCAACGAGCATATTCCAATTGGCAAAGCTACCTTCTCTAGGTGCAGAGACATGTGTTATTCCTTAAAGGCTGGGTATGTGGAACAGACACAGCTGGCGAAGCTGAGGTGCTCACCCTCTGCCCAGGTCCAGAAGTGCCAGAGGCCTGTGCACATAGTAACACACTTAACTAACCAGTAGGCCTTTGTTTCCCACTTCTGACAAACCAGATCCCTGTGGAAAATGGGTGGGTGGTAATGAGCCTTGCACAGGGAGATGTCCCTGCATCCATAGCTGCAGCGTGCCACCCAGCCAGCTCGTCAGCAGGAAGGTGCCTTGGCCTATGAGTCTCAATGGAATTGGTAAGCAGAGCAGGAGCAGCCATGGCCATGTTGTTGTTACTAGTAACAGTGAGGCCCAGGGTACATACAGCTAAGCTTAGCTATGGGGTTTCTAGATCCCTTAAGACTGATATATTATATGACACCATTAAATAGCTGGATAGAAGCAACTAAAAGGTGAGCCTAAATACTGAAATCTGAAAATAATAGAGAGATAATTCCACCAACAACGCTTTAATCCTAATATAAAGCACTTTCTTAGGACATGAAGAAAGACACAAATCTAGAGTGTGGATAAACAAGAAAAGGTCACGGCTTTGGCAGCTGTCAGACCATCATTACCAAATCCTTTCTCTCAAAATGTCCATGTTGTCATATTTCCAATTCCAATTCCATATTCCATAAACTTAATGCTGGGGGAGAGAAGAAGGTAGGATTCACGTTGATTTCAATATACATTCATCACTCAGTAGATCTTTCCTGAGCCTCTACTCCATGGCAGGCCCTGTCCTGTGTGCAGGGACACAGTGGTGCCGGGGTGGTAAGAGAAAGCACCGGCATCCCCGAGCTCACATTCTGGTGTGGAGATCTGAATAGGACTTCAGGAAAATTCTATGCCGTTAATGTACAAATAAGTAGGGAAGGCAAAGTGCTTGGGGTAGGAGTGAGAAGATATCTTAAGAACATGATATCCTAACAAAACCTAAATGAAGTGACAGAATGAGCCGAACAGGGGCCACGGGTAGAGATGAACCTGGGACGTCCCAGCGCTAGGAAGGCAGTGTGGCTACAGCACAGGGAAAGGTGGCAAGAACAGGAGAAGATGACAGAGGAGAACCAGGAGCCAGAGCATGGCGGGCTAGAGGCCTAGTAAGGGTAAGGGCTTCCATTAAAGGTAAAGGAGACAGATAAATCTATACATTAACTCATGGCAGAAGTTCAGCGCGATTGTTCATGCCTGCGTTGTTCTGCG